AATTGCAGCAAAAGGTGGTTCTACAAAGTATTGACTCAGGGGGCTGAATAATTACGCACACCCCACTTTTCAGTTATTTGTAAAAAATGTTTGGAATCATGTGTGATTTTCGTTCCACTTCTCACGTGTACACCACTTTGTGTTGATCTTTCATGTGGAATTCCAATAAAATTGATTCATGTTTGTGGCTGTAATGTAGGGGGCCGAATACTTTTGCAAGCCACTGTATGCCCTTGTTTGTATTGGCAACATTTAGGAAATGATACTGTTATATGGGGATTGAAAAGATCACATCATAGTTTGAATCCAAAGATCATGTCAGATTTGACCTCTGAGCTGACGTTTAAATTTCACATCTACGTTTCTTTCTAATTGACCCCAAAATGCTTTATTTTTACTGCAGTAAAACTTTTTAAAGTACATTTAAAAAGGAAAAAAAACCCAGAATGAATGTGCAGAAAATGCTGTTCCCTTTAAAGTAAATGCTGCCCGGAGTGAGCTGTCTTGGCGGGGGTCTGCTTTCTCAGAGTGCTTCTTGTTTCTTTTTAAAGTTATTTGGTAGAATGACTTTTACGCTCAGGGTTTTTTTCTTGGTGCATGCCTTATTTGCTCTTCAGATTCAGTCAGCTGTCAGAAGGCTTGATGATTTGCTCGTATAATTTTAAATGCATTGGTCCATCTATGGCAGCAGGCCATCGCATTTCAAATGCAGTAAAACTTGACCAAAGTATGAAACTATCACTGTCATGTTTCACAGATGGCATCAAGTTCTAATGCTTCACCCAAAAACGTGTGTTTGGTCTCATTAAAGAACAAAAAAAAACAAACACATTACTCCAACTGTTATCTGGATTCTCCATCAGAGGTTTAGTGAAGTGCAGATGGTCAGCAGTGTTCTCTGCAGAAAGAAGCGCTTTCCTCTCGTAAGGCTGGCATGAGTGCCATTGTTGTTACCCAGCGACTGAGCACAGTATTACACGCCTCACCCTGGAGTGATGTGATAGATTAACAGTAAAGAACCTATTAAGTCTTTTAATAATTATAAATATAAGCTAAGTACATTTTTACTATTGTTTAAAAATTTTATGTTTTTGGTAATGACATATGAAAGACCCACTTGACAACAACTTAAACACCATTACTATCATTTTACAGAACTCAAAACTTCAGTTATTTTTTTGTGAAAAATCTCACATTACTTTCAATAACAATAAAGTATAAGTTCTGTTTCTATCAGTTATGATGAAAATACATTTTCCCCTCCAAAAATGCACAAGCAAAGTCAGCAGAGGAAAATAAGCTATCACAAAAAAAACAATTATCTAATCCATTTTATATTGAAGGCTCAAAATAGTTATTCATTGTTTAGACCTCTCAGTGTGCCCCTGAGAGACCAAAACAATTGCTCATTGTCCAAAGTTATGGCTGGTATCACAGCACAAGCACTCTACCAATTTAATTGTGTACTCCTGCAAAACTGTCAGAGTAATGACTGAGTTTATGTTAAAAATAATAATAACGTAGGCAGAGAGAGAAGCTGATTATGGTGCTAAGACAATCTGTTGTCTGGCTCTAGGTGACACCCACACCTTTATAAAGTAAAATCATTTTATTGTTGCTTTAGGAGGTACGAGGTTTCTGTCCCATGCGTTGTTCTACACAGTATCAAATCTCCAGGCGCTACTTCGTTATTGTGGGGTGAAGTTGAGGGTGCTTCCACGCTTTAAGCCAAAAGACCCATTCTGGTTGACATCGGTGTGAATGTCTTGCTGAAAGAGGGAGACTCGAGTTCAGATGTTGAAATGTACTTTAAATGAGCTCTAGCAAAATCAGGAAGGTACAAGGGTGCATGGGGTTAGAGGTTAGCGTTGGGATCATCACCAGTGACGACTTAGACTTCACGGGTGTGGAACTACTCAGGATTTGAACATGAACTACAGATTATTTTGTATTTAAAATGATGCGGCACTACTCCTAACTAGTACGAGAAAGAGAAAAATTGTTATACCTGTGCAAACTTCCCTGCAATGGCTTCCCGACACATACAGGATGGATTTGAATGTCTTTGTTATTTGTCTATAAAGCCATGCCTGGGTTGGCACCTGGGAACATATCAGAGCTTCTATGCTCCTACTGCACCACTGGGACTCTTAGATCCTCAGAATAACTGCTTTAACTGTTTCATGATTGAGGTTAGGGGGTAAGGAATACTGTGCTTTAGCAGCTGTGCCTCTAAAAGTCCTCTCACAATAACATGTTCAGCCTCTTCTGGCACTTCAGAGAAAAAAAGAGGGATGTACATTCTTTCATTGGCCTTTCTTTGCCCTTCGTGTTCTTGACATTTAAGCATTAGGTAGTTATTTTATTTTATCATTTAATCTTAGGCCTTTTTATCCTGTTATCACTTGCTTATCTGTATTTGTGTTGATCCGAAAAAGTGCTACGGAGGTAAATGCGATTTAATGCAATTTGATAAAAGGTTCTCAGAAATGGCTTCTTCCGTTTGTGCATCAGCTGTAACTGAATTACCGAAAGCAATTCTGCGGCAATATCAAACTTCTTCGAGCTGTCTGTTTCCCTGAGAGAAAAAGCTGAAGCCGAGGAAGGCGAAGCACCACACATGAAATTCCTGCTGTATCTCTGACAGGAAAATCTCCTTCCTCCGAGCGGCAGAGACGCAGTGCGAGAAAAGCGCTACGCCAGCGTTTGATTGTCGAGCCCAACAGGAAACAGGCAGGAGGAACTGTCACCAGCTGTGGCTCAATTACTGTAGTTGTGGAGGGTGATGGCAGCTCGCCTTGTGACAGGGGGATTGGGGACTGTCACACTGTCAGTCTGCCATTCAGTGGCTCGAAAGCAAAACTTTCCATTGGTGCTGGCATTCAAAATATCAAGTAAAGTATGAAGAAGGAAAAACCCTCTAAAACAATCATAGCTTGTTTTTTCTGACACGCGTGTTTTAACTTGTCACTTTGAAACCAGTCAAATCCCACAAACAAAATCACAACACCATGCTCCTGTCTGTACGTTTTCTCTTCATTTATGTAAATGCATTTCCTCCTGCCTTGGAGACAGCAACGTGTAGGAGTTGGTAATTAGGAGCGCTGTCTGTTTGCTTCATATCTCCTCAAACGCTTTGTGTTTTTAGGTGCTGATATATTAAAGTCATGCAAATCAATAGTACATTTTACAGGCTGCTTAAATGCATTTTTAAGATGCATTAAGAAGACCCTGCCAGTTGCTCATCATCCCCTCTTACTCTCTCCACTGGGTCAAAGCTATCCCTGAGTGGCTTTCTATTACACTGAAAATCTTGCTTTCACTCCATAACAATGCGTGTTTGACCTTCTGTACTTCTACCAGCAATTTGCATTAGAATATACTTAATCTGCTGATGTACACAGGAAAATATTAATACAAAGATAAGCAAAATCATTTTACCATTTTTTCTGCCGGCCATGGCTCAAGCTGATTAATGTTCCACTGGTCTCCATTTAAAAGGCTGATCCTCCATTTACTTATGCTGATCCAGCCTATTCTGTGAGTCAGTATTTGTGTGTGTGTGTGTGTGTGTGTTTCTGTTGTTTGTTGTTACTGAATGACTAAAGGCATACATTTGTGTAAGAAGTGCACAATAATTATCTGAGCATGAAGGAGCAACTGCACATTCAAGAGGTTCTGAAGCCAGAGCTAAGTAACAATGACAATAAAGAGCTTCAGTGCATGCATAAAAAAGCATCGCTGTCTCCCATAATGATGGTGCAGTTAACAAATGCGAGCCATTTCAGCAAAGCCCTGCATATGTGAGTGCGAGCATTCACAGGGCAAAAATGAAGCTGCCCACTCACTGTCTTCTTCAGTCTGAAAGGTGACCTCTCTGCTTTCCTTCTTGCCCTCTGGGTTGGCGAGCGCTAGCCGAACGTGTACCGCACGAAAGGGTGGCAGGTCTCTCAGGGTAAAGTGAGACGTGTTGCGATCCACAGACAGGCATTCCCTGACGGTCGCGTTGTTTCCTCCACTGCCCCCTGTTGGCATTGAGTAGCGGTAGCACAGCGACAAGGTGTAGGTGTGACAGCGGGTGAGGTTGTATCCCAGTGGCTCCCACTGGAGGGTCAGCTGCCGGGGCTGGATCTCTGTGGCTGTCAGACCACGCAAGGCACGCATGGGCTCTGAAAGTGGTAAGGAGAAGGAAGTTAAAAAGCCAACACTGTGGTTACATTTACCAGTTTAAAACCCAAAAGCACAATGAAGCATTTTTTAAGTGATAGAACCAGCTGGACTAGCTCTTATATTTCACATTTCTACTCTAACTGATCAGTGTGCTACGCTCATAGCTTCCTCTTGGTAAACAACGTGTTTCATTGTGTGTAAATCATCTTCTTTTCTGTCTTTATTGTTAGTTTTATATTTAGCTTTCCCTGCTCATGCTTCACTTCCCATCCTTGTTCCTCTTTTATAATTGCCTGCCCCAGCCCTGTTGCTTTCAGTTGTGTTCATTAGCTCCACCTGCTCCTCCCAGTTTACTTACAATGCACTCCTTTAACATAAGAGTTATAGCCCACTATATATTTTCCATGTGGTTCCTCGAACCATGGCATGCTGTCAAAAACTCAAAAAATCGATGTATTACAGAAGGACAATAGAGCAGGTTTGGTGTTCCATCTGAGAGCTCATCGCTCCTCATAATCATTTTGCAAATAAAACTGACCAAAAAAATAATAACATTTTATTTATAATGATAAATAAAAAGAAATTTTGATTAAATCATTCACCAAACGAGGAATGATGTAATGTGGGTGACACAGCTGAACTTTCCTTCCACTGAGCAGAAATACATGTCCACCTGCTCTGTCTGTGTAGTACTTTCTTTATTTATTGACAAGACTTGTTGTGTTATATGATCTAAGTGTTGGAGGGTAAAGTCGAGAATGATGGAGCAGAACATCAATATGCTGGTTGTATCCGGTGTATTAAACTGCTCTGCAGAAGGTGATTTGCTCATCAGTTTCACATCAATCTTCTCCTTCAGTCATCAGTTTTGACCCAAGGAAGTTCACAGGTATAAGTCAGTCAAGACTAGTATTTTTTAACTCTGATCACATAGCCTCAGGGATGTGATGGGGACACATGGATGTAAAGTTGTCTGATTTACGCTGGTGCTTTTCCACACAGTGGGAAAAGTCAGAACCAGACTCTTAAAGTGAACTCTAAAGTTGATGGGGAGCCAGTGTAACTAAATAAGCAACAGTGTGAAATGAATAAACTTAGGGGACTTATTCAGAAGCCTCACAGCAGCATTCTGAACAACCTGGAGACACTATAGGGATGTTTTATTAAGACAGGTGAACAATGAATTAGAATAATCCAGACGTGATGGCACTCAATTTGAGAACATTTTTTAAGTCATAAAAGAAAGAGCAAATCAAAGCTTAAACATGAGTGTGAGTGAGTGAACGCTGCATCAGAAGTCACCTCGAGGTTCCTGACAGAAGACGATTTAGCAAATGTGGAAATGGGACCTAGAATTTTCATTATCTAAGGTACAAATCTGTCAGGGGCAAAAAGAGGACTTCTGTTTTCTCTTCATTAAGATGGAGAAAATTGTCAGTCATCCAACTTTTACCAGAGTCTAAGCATTTATGTATGATGTGTAGCTAAAAGAATCTTGGGGCTTAAAAGAGATATACAATTGAATTTCATCTGCAATGCAGTGCTAAAAATGTCTTTAAAAGTTCTGATGAGGGAACAAATATAACAGAAACAGTAAAAGCCCCAAAACAGAACCCTGATGCATACCACAGGGAAGAAATGTGAAAGACGGCCTAGAAGCAGCCACGCAAAATCATCATTTGGATAATTTAGAACCACTCCAAGAATTCACATAAGAAGAATAGTGTTTGTTAAATGGAGACAGCAACATTTGCTGCTGACTTTTCAAACTTACACTATAAGGTTAGTGAAACAATGGAAGGAAAATGTAACTGCCTTAAGAAGAAGCTTGCAAAACAACTCCTCGTTGCTTGTAACACAAATGAGGTTCAGCCCTCGCAGAGAATCACATAAGAACGATAAAGCCTAATTACTGCTGTCATGTGTGAACACTGTGATTGCAGTTCTTCTCGTCCCTGTGACACAGAACGTCCAGTTTCAATCACAAAGAGGTTATTTCTGTCTGCAAGGTTGGCCCGAATCTCCAAGTGTACCGCTGAGACGTTAGATAAACCGAGATGAGGGCAATGCCCTCAGCACATAGTGGCAAGGCGGTACAGAGCTGCAGACAGGGGAAGTAACAGCTATAGCCCTGCTGCTGCTGCTGCTGCTGCTGCTTCACTAAACATAGATCAGAAGCTGAGACGTAAAAGAATAACCAATGTCACGGAGGAGACATCAGCTTTGAGGGGACAGAAACAAGACAGAGAAGGAAAACTCCTGAGAGACCTTGCGATTTAAAAGATGTTCTTCCCAAAAGGGCAAAATGAACCGTGTTAGGTTGCTTTGTTCTCTGACAGCTGATATAAGCTAAAACTTCCCCATAGAATAGCAACAATCAATCATAACAAAGAAATTTAATTCCAAAAATATGTATCATGCCCATCATATCAAGGGTGGCTGAGTATAACTGGATTGATAGATTTTTTTTAACAATATCAGCCACGTGTAGCAGCCCAATCCTGTTAAAACCACGTCTGCCACCGGCAGCTCACTGACTGAATGTTCACCTTCTGCTCCAGACACCATTACTCATCATTAGAGCATCACCACAGCAGTCACTGTCCTGTCCTCTCCACCCGCCTGTCCTCAGCCAATCCTGCCCCAAATCGACATTCTGCTTGATTAGCCTAATCAGAGGGATTAGCCAGAGGCAGAGGGAGTGATGGAGGGGCTGGACAAGAGATGAGCACTGGAAGAGGAAATGATGAATGGGGGAAGAGTCCCAGTGGATCTGCACATTTCATGCCATTGTCCTCATCTTTAACAGCTGCCTCTGTGAGCTGCCACTGAGGTCTGTCCCTCTTGCCTGCAGCTATGTTAAAATTATGATGGACTATCAGTTAACACCCTCGTAGTTAACAGTGAAACCACATGAGCTTTAGACTGCTGACATCTTTGAATGGTTTCTATAGACGTTGGCATCTAGAAATCTAACTACTGATATTTAAAGTGCATTGATGTTCTATAGCTTCATGACAGCTTGTTGATGTTTTGCAAAAAAATATATATATAAACAATGTGGGTAATGGAGTGTAGGTCAGAAAAATACTGCCATTACTGGTAAAATGACTTATTTGAAAAGCCATCAAACAGCTCAAAATTTAAAAGATGTGAATAAAATTTACCACTGGAACCCATTTGCGACACTCTTATTTCAACACTCATATGATAATAGCTTTGGCCATCATATTTATTAGTTATGATAACACTAGACTCCAGATAACATACATTTGTGTAAGAAGGGGCAAAAGGTGACAGAATGACAGAAAGTGCATCCTTTTCCAGAAGCCCTCTCTCTGATGCTGGCTCTGATTGTTCTGTGTACATTTTATATGCTTTTGTTGAATTGCATAAATGGTAAAAATACAGACACCAGTGTATTTTTACATATACAGTTGTTTGCACTGCTAGACAATCACTGTGCCAGATGAAGTGGAGGGACGATTTTCTTTTGTAGATGAAGACCCCAGAATTCCAAGTTGGATTTGGGTGATCTGACAAACACTTTATTTTAGGCATTTGAGATGTATCAGCTAGAAGCAATGTACTCCATCAAGTATTAATAGGTTAATCTCTTTCTCCCAAAGATAAAACTTGAACATATGCTGCCTTAAACAAGAAAAGGAAAGAAGATATTAGTGCTGGAGTACATGGCACATCTGCATTCATGCCAAGATCTCCCTTCTGCAGCCATACAGGACACATTTAGACCTGAAGCTAAAGCAGATGGGCACATCATTCACTTAGCATTTGAACTGGAGGTCTGTGTGGTCAGCAATTCTGAACAATAGCCCCATGGGATTTTAATACTCTGCACCAGCAAGGATGGAATTGACCAGTGTCCAAAACGAAATGCTCTCTGCTAAAAAGAAATGACTCCCGGAGACACATTAGGAAGAAAAATTCATCCAGAGTTTGGTGTCACCGGTCCTCTGCTGTCTGCCGCTTTCTCCCTGGGGATAAAGCTTCAGATGTGAGCAATGGGAGCCGACAGGAGGTGGGCAAGTGAAAGACAGTGACAAGAGCGGATCAAAGAGTGTGGCAGGTGACAGGGACGTCATGCCATCTACTTGACAGAGCAGCAGGTTGTCTTTTTCACCAAGATGAGCAGCACTGCAGTTAAAACACAGATGAGAGGGAGAGAAAAGTCTCTGCCCTCTGCTTTGCATGGCGTAACATGAAAAAAATGGAGAACCTTTATACTACACAACCACTTGTGCTACGCTGGAGTTGACAGCTGGGCGTAGACCGGTCCTAAACCAAAGAATTTGGTGCTTCAGCCTGATTTCTGTACACATCATCCCCTTCTCACTGAACTCTAATCGTGTATGTAAATGAGTACTGATGAAAGCATGGCTAGATCCTGTGTTTTCATTATGAGCCACAGTTAAGTAGAAAGCATCTGACAACTTCTATAACAACAGAAACACCTTTAGTTCTTTTGTGGCTGCAGGCAAAGTACAAGTTAAGTGATATGTCATATCACCACAGAAGCTTGTGAATCTAGATGTGCATCAGCACAAGAAAGTCTTTTGTTTTCTGTATGTGTCATAGCAACTCGTCAGCTGTCAGATGTGTAGTTACAGTTCCTCAACCTCTAGCATTTTATTAGATATGACACATAGTCACAAATGCTAACAAGCTAATCCTGAGCATGTGTAATAGTTACCGTGATCAGCATTTCAGTGTGCTAACATTAGCTAATCACAGCTAAACACAAAGTTCAAGATGATGTGGGTTAATTCTGCAGGTACTATGGTACTAGGTTTTAGATGTGTCCTTGAAGCAACACAGCTAATTTAAATGGCTCAATGACCTCCTCAACATGTCTCCAGAGGCCTGGTAACAAACTAATCATTTGATTCAGGTGTGCTGACCCAGGGTGAGCTCTAAAACCTGCAGGACACTGGCCCTCGAGGTCTGGAGTTGCCCATCCCTGCCATAGAGTCTTATATTAAAATGGCATTAAAAACATATTTAGGGCTTGAGAAAAAGTTTTGGTCTATATGAATAGTTTGCTCCTTATCACATCTTTACATTGGGTAATTTTCCTTTTTAATGACTAGTCCACTTAGATATTAGTAAGGCTTCAAGTTAGCGGTATGGCTGTTTTAATTGACACATGTGCCGACACAGACAGCTGTTGTTCTATGTCTACAATCTAAAACATTCAAGTGAACCTTGTGAGTGTGTTTGTGGCATTGGTGCCTT